GCTGAATGCACTGGTAAGTTGTCCCTGCTCCAAACACTTCTGTAATAACTCAGTTTGCTTCTAGAAATCCAGCCCCAAAAGCCCATGGCAATAAAGATGGAATTTTGTATCAGTTTATGTGGGATCAGACCTGCAAGAGTTAACTGCATAACCCAAAGGGAAGCACTGTTTATATTGGAGGGGATATACCTTGGACTGAGGAATGGGAAAATTCCCTCTGCTGCTCTCTTCCCTGTTCATTCCCTGCTCTGAGCACAAAGGGGAGCCAAGGCAGTGACCGATGGCACAGCTGATAAGGCTGCAGCTCCCTGGGGCACCTGAGCCAGGTCATGTCACTGCTGAGGTCAGGAGCTGTGCTCAGCAGAGCGCTGCCTGGTTAAGGTAGTTCCATTGCAAAGCCCATCTTCTTGTGCCTCGGGCTGCCCTGTTTGTTGGTCTGTGAGGGGATGTTTCATTGTGCAAGCCTTCCTTTCAGCCTTGCAGCCCCGAATGACAGGGTCAGAGCACAGCTCCCACGGCACTGCCACTCTGCTCCCCAAACCTAGGCACATGATACACAGGGATAAGGTGGTTTTCCCCATATCCTGACCAGGCCCACTCCTTTTCCTTCCATACCTGTCTCTTCTCACCTCTCCAAAGTGGGCAGCAGGGTCTCTGGGGTTTCCCAGCAGAGTGGGATATAGTGTGGCCCCACAAACACAAAAGGAGTTGCCCTTGTGACTCATGAGGTTTCTGAGCTGGTTTTGTCTACATATCTCTGACTCCTTTGTGGTGTTCTTCCACTTTCCCTCTCCCTATCCCCAAACCAGTCGGTTTCCTTTCACCAGTGTGGAGAACCTTTGGAGAGCCTGGGATTTAGGAGTCAGTTGGAGGCAGTGTCCAATAGTATCACAGTTTATATGCTCACAATGAGAACGTGCCTGTGAGTTGACTTCATGGCCCTAGAGCTTGGCCACCCACCTATAAAAAGTCTTTAACTGTCTTTCCTTACAAGCAGATGCCTTGTTTAAAAAGGAATTTTGACAACACAGAGATTCCAAAGAGCAGTTCTGCCTTCCCTTCCCTTCCCTTCCCTTCCCTTCCCTTCCCTTCCCTTCCCTTCCCTTC